GGGTATGGTATTCTGCTACCTCCTCCGCTGTGAATTCTGGTATCTGGAGTGGAGGTTCTTCCTCTTCTCCTGGTTCTGCTTCGTTGTTCCCCTCCTCTCCTTCCGCTTCTGCCGTTGCTTCCCCTTCTGCAGGTGCTGTTGAGAGATACAGGACGAGAAATTCGCGATCAGGAATGATCGTGAGCGGGGTCGTGGTTCCTTCGATGAAGCGTGCGTACGGATCTGGGCAAGAGATTGGTCCGAGTTAGTCTCGCGGCGGTGTTGGTGGTACATTCCCCCTCTCAATCTCCGACCAGGGATCACGCCAGTGGTGAGGTGAGCGAGGTGGTGAAGTAGTGCGAGGGGGTCGACCGAGGGGAATGATTGCTCGAGGTGATGGTTCGCCGCGCTCAGCTTGTAGTTCTTGTGCAGCTTCTTCCAATTCTTCTTGCATGAGTTCTCCTTCGTCAGGCTCATTGTTTCCCTATCCTCCCCTGGTGAGCATGCCGGTTCCCCATGCTCCCGTTGAGGATCCCCAGGTTGCGCCTTCTTCGGTATCGGCTTGCTCGTTGTCCCATCCTCCACGCGCAGAGTTTGGGTCCCATCCTGCCGCGATGCGCTCTTCATACAGCTTCTGCCGCTTTTCGGCTTGGGCTTTCTCCTGTTCCTCTTTGACGCTTAGTTCCTCTGGTGCGTCAGGGTCTTTCCAAGTAGGGTCAATTTCGCAGCGATAGACTTTTCGAGTGTATGGGCGCGGACGTCCTTCTTCGTCGAAGGTGCGCGTGTTGGCTTCGAGGACGAATCGTAGGGTGTCTGAGTAAGGTCGCGGCCTCGCCTGTTGTTCTTGGCCGAATTTCTCGCTTGGCTCGCCGAATATGCGGTGAGATGATATGGCAAGCTCTTCTTCAGTCATGCCTGTTGGTCTTGTTTCAGCGCTTTCTGCTTCCTGAATTGCCGCTTGCTCCTTCTCCACTTGCTCCGTTTGGCTTGCGGTCGGTGTGTGACAAGTGGTGCACAGTCCGTGGGCGTCGGGTTCGTGAAGGTTGATTTCACGCGGGTGAGGGCTTCGGCGAATCCACGGTCTTCCATCCGGATGCTCCCAAGACTCCTTGTTCATGAAGGCGAACTCGAGGGGAACAAGGTCGACGAGTTCGTCCGACGATGCTTGACAGGAAGGTATGTCGAAATCCAGGATGTAGATCCCGTTGATGGAGCGAGCACGTCCGAGGTACTTGAATTCCTCAGGAGGGGTGTCCGGGGGAGCATAGGTGAGGATGAGGTCGCGCGTTGCAAGGTCCGTGTGAATGATGACGTCGCAATCGCGGAGCTGTCCAGCGGAGAGCAGATTGAAGCGCAGATTCGGGACGTAGAGTACGTCGTTGAACGAGATGTGTGTGTTGTTGTCTCGTGCTTGCAGGACGACAAGTCCTTGTGAGTTGGCGCGCAGCTGCTCGTTGTTGGCGACGGTGACATAAGTTGCAGGAGCGCGGCTTAGGTTAGAGACGTAGCGCGTGGATCCCACCATGTGCTGTCTGCAGCAGCTGTCCAGGTACCAGGTGTTGTAGTTGTCGGTGTTGTTACGGCGTAGTAGCAGCGCCAATCGCGGAGTTACCAGGGTGGTCTTGAAGCGCCTGTGGAAGTGGGGATCTTCGTCCTCCTTCCAGCCTACTGGTACGTAGTGCTGATTTTCGTGAGGCGGGCTTTCCCGCAACGTGATTGGAAGATTCCAGTCCTGCTCGTCTTTGTCGTACAGGTAGTGGTGATCCTCGGTGAAAGGATTATTCCATCCCTCTTCTGGTTCCAAAAGTCTTCCTTGCACTTCGTTTTCCTCGTCACGTTCAGTGGTGCGCTGTCGTTGTGTCGCCATGTTTGCGATGACGTTCCTGGGAGCTCCTGACTATGATCCTTGATTTTGCTGCTGTTGAGCAGGAGGACGAGCTGACTGATGCTGAGGTTGAGGATGACAAGCGTCTTGTCGGCCGACCCAGTTGTGGTCAGTGGAATTTGGGTGGCGGTGGTTGGATCGAGATTTGCATATATCCGTTGAGTGTCTGAAGACTTCGCATATTTTGCAGTAATGGCGCCTTGGTTGTCGTCGCTCTTCTCGGTTGTCCGTGTAGAAGGCGAGGCGCTCTCGGCGCGGCGCGGAGCTTGTTCTGCTCGAGTCCATATCCTGCTGTTCGGATAGGAGAGCGGCGCATAGCGCAGCTTCTGAAATTGTTCCTCGCTGTCGGAGTAACGCCTTGCAGGGCTTCCACTCAGGCCCGAGTCATTGAAGGACTATATTGACGAAAATCTCTTATGAGATCATACTCCCATAATTCGTGATCTGGTCACGGATGTTGCGACAACGGTTAATGTATGGATTTGCCTTCTCCCCGTGCCCCATTTTTATCTCCAGAAGTTGCTGGAGAAGCTTGCTGGCCGTGACGAAATCCCTCGGCTGGTAAAATTCAACGAGGTGCTTCCAAGCTTCCATTGCTGGAGCGTCGCTCTCTTTGTAGGAGCGTATGTTGAGTTCTTCCCCATGCGTCATGTTGCGTAGCAGTACGCTGTAGGCCATGAGGGACTCACTGTAATGCTGAGCCCTGGCAACGTCGGTGTTTTCCACCAGTTTAGGGTAAGAGCCGTCGAAGTAATGGTAGATCTGCGCTGTTTGTAGGAGGAGCTCCAGCTCAAAACTCCATGTATAGAAATCCTTGCCGTCAAACGCGGCGGTAGTCTTAACTTTTGAAACGCTGAGGAAGCGTGTTTGCGCAGAGTTGATAGCCTCATCACTTGGTCGAGGGCAGTTGTTGCTGATTTGTCTGTGTCGAGGGAGAAGCTGTGCGCGGCGGTATCACGGCTTTTCTCAGCCGGTTGTCCAGGTTGTGCTGGTTGGGAAGAGATTCCCGCATCGCCTTTGCGCAGTTCTTGGATTTCTTTCTCCATAGTTGAAAGTCGAGCGAAAAGTTGCTCGAGGGCGGCAGTGCCGATTGTGGTTGTCGCCTCACTTGTCGTAGCTGGATTAGGTTGTCCTTCAGCCGTCAGATTTGCTTGGCCTCCGGATCCTCCGGCCATCTTGGTCTTGGAGCGTGTGCCGCTCGCCAGATTTTGGTTCGGCGAATTTACTAAAGTGAAGTTGCGAAGAATTCCTGAGTAGCTCTCGTACCATGTTATAATCCCAAGTGGGACTTAGCAAAGGATCGCTCAGGGTTGATCGCAGGAGTAGTTTGCAGCGGAAGTTTGAATCTCAGGTCAGAGTGAATGTAAAATGACTGAGTTGATAATAACATGCATACATCGAGTTTATATAAGAGTACAAGGGAATACGAAAGGACCTAGCTAGCCATGTACTCTAAGGGGTACATTCCCTTATTACAACTGATTTCAGAAACCGTGCGGCGCGGGAAACCCGTTAAAAAACCGTTCCCGCTCTTTTCACTCTAAGTGTTTCTGCCTGCATCGGTCTTGATCCGACGATTAGTGCGTTGCTTCGGCTCTTCTGACTCCTCAGCTTCGTACTCGGTAGAGTCGGCTCCTGCAGCGTACAGGAATGCCTTCTCATAAAACTTTGCATCGTAACAACATCCAATGACGTCGCCATCTCACTGCAGTCCTCCGTGAAATGGTGGATTGCCATGGGATGGAATGAGACTCTTGTTTGCCGGGAGAAGAAACTACTTCCCCATTTCCGAATGCCATGATGCGTCCAAAATTCGAGAAAATTGAGGGCGTTTGCCAGACACCAAATATTCCATTTGGGTCGGGCGGCATGAGAGGCTCGGCAACATTTTTTCGGGCTGACCAGCCTGACGGAGCTTAACGAACCCTAACTGACGGGATCAGGAAGGCGAGACTGACCTTCCTGATCCCGTCGTTTTTCCGTCATTTTTGCTTTCAAAGGTGCTGGCAAACACCGCCATAGATTGTGATTGATAGATCGGCTAAGAAAAACACCGGGGGCTTCCGGGAAGTTAAGGATTGCTTTGACGTAGATTCCTCGGATCGCCCTGAACCGCACCACGTCCTCATTTCAGCACTCTCAACAGTGTTGAAACCTTCCCGTGGCTGGAAGTTGTAGATTGAACTACATCGCCGGGCCCAAATCGACATTCTCAATCTTGTAGGGCCCCTCGATCGACCCTGCGCAGAATCGTTCATTTTGGCTTTTCGTAAGGTTCAGAAATTTGGAAATGCATAACACGGGATTCCCGTGCGGTGAAGGGTCGTTCGAGGAAGAAGACGCGTCCCAATTCTGTTTGGTTCCACCACCGATCACCGTCAGAACACCTCAGCGGAATTCGGTCGACGGAGCCGAATTGCCAGTGTCGTCGAGGGGGGTCGTCGAAGCCTGGGCTGACGGGGCGGAGCACTGACGCGCGTGCGGGCCCGCCAGCCTGGCCCAGGGCTGGGCCGAGCGCACGACCGCCGCCCCGCGGCCCCGCCCCGAATGTGAACAGCGGCCCACGTTACCGGGTGGGGTCGGCGAACTGGCGACACCTCGCGCGTGGGAAAATTACCCTCGCGCGAAGGCAGCCCACACGCGCCACCTGCCCGCGAGGTCCTAGTAACCCATCGCGGCCTGCCCGGACGGGCAGGCGAGGGCCGGGCAAAAATTCGGGGCCCCCTCGGGACGCTCGACAATTTCGCGACCCGTTGCGGCGACGCCACGTGTTCGCTCGCATCGGGCAACATGCAGAATTTTGATACATTGCGAATTCGGGACTTCGCGAATTCGACGTCGATCGCTTCGCGGCGCACGTTTTTCGCTTCGGGACGTGACATCGACTTGCTGGCTCGGCGGCGAATGAGGACTTGTGCCACTTGTGCACGACCCCGCCAAACCCCGCCGAGGCAGGCACCACGAGGGCCGGGCGATGCCTCGACCGTTCCTGTGGGGCACCGACCCCCTTTTCTAGGTGGAAGGGGACATCGCTCCTCATTTTCGCCATCTCGTTTCCCTTTCCACCTTTTCCCCAGCTCTGCGCCTTCTCCCACATTCACGTCCCTTAGCTTGTAGCCGCTTTCCCTTCCCCGCCATGTCGGCCGCCCAGAATGTCGGCGAAGTGACGCCGACCTCGCAGGACTTCCCTCTGTATCTCGACCTGGGTAGTGGACTCACTGCCAAGCTCGACGAACACGACTACGCCGTCCTCGTAGACCATAGGCTAGAGTTCAACGCCCGTTGCTTGGGATTCGGCCTCAAGTGAGTGTCCGTATCGGGATGTCGACGTCGACCGCTGGATACCTTGCAGGTCGACGTTGTTAGGGTTGTCCCACGTTTTGGTCGGCGCTACTAGTTTAGGGTTTAGATAACTTCTCGGTGACGCACACAACCGTAGGTCGGCACAAGACTCCGATCACTACAGTAGGTCGGTGCCCGCATCGGTAGACGCCATTGATTACAACATAGCGACGGTGGTGCACCGTTCTACTATCGCCATCCCCGTCAGTTGTCGGTTCCAGAACCCACGTGTCCATCCGTCGTGCCGTGCACGTCCTCAAACACATCTACTACCATGCGTGCAGGTACGCATGGATTCGCGCGGCGCCGGCCAACATGCGATTGTGGTCGATAGGACTCGGCCGGCTTCGGGCGGCGATGGGCAAGGAAGACCACTCATGCTTTGCTACGGTGTTCGACGCCGACGTAGCTGTTATCCCTCTGCATTCGAGGTGAGCCTAAGTCATGATGGTGTGCCATGATGCCTATGCCGCTGCTCCGTTCTGATCAACGTCGTGGTGCCTACCCTGTGCAGCATCGCACCGCTTCCAGGGGCACATTGCAGCGTCGTGGTCATCCTGTACCCCGGCGACTTGTTGCGGGCCGGGGGGGAGACGATCAAGACATCTGTCCGGCACTTTGACCCGCAAACCGTGAAGCAGTGGCACCGCGACGAGGCGATCCGCGTGCTGAAGTGAGCTCGATAGTGTAGTCGACGACGCATGCAATTTCGCCGTTGGGCGTTAAGCAAGTCTACTGACGATATGTGCCGTGTTGCTTCAGGTTTTTCCGGGCGGCAGTGCTGGCCGAGCTCGGCCGCGATGGCCGCCACTGGGAGTGGCCGAAGCCTTCTGTTGAAGAGGTGGCGGACAGGCTCGTCGACTTCGATGAACCCGTTCGAGATGTGAGTACCGATCGTTTCACCGTCCTAGCGCGATGCCATCGCAGCCGTCGGTGCTCATCCTTGCTCTCTGCTCTGTTGTTTGCAGAAAATGCGCGACACCGTCCGAGACAGCGACGCATGCTCTGGCCTCCTATCAATGAGCGCGCTGTGCTGGGTGGTGAAGGGGATGGATCGCCTGACCGGCGACGACTGTCGCAGTGCGACCAGCATGGACAAGGTCCTCGTTTCGGGGTTGAAGGAGCTGCGGATTCGGATGATCACATACATCAAGGAACACGTCGCACGCAAACGGTCAGGCCATGTCGGAGTTGCTGCCGATGCCTGTGACGACGACGCCGCGGAGCCCCCTTCGGCATCCCAAGCAGTCGGTGTCGCCGACACCAGCGGAGAGGCCGGAGACGGCGTCGACAAGGCAGATGAGGAGGCAGAAAGGGCTGCGGCGAGGACCGCGGATCAGGAAAAGGAGGAGGAGGAGGATGACAGCGACGATCAGGATGATAACGAGGAGGATCGTGAGGAGCGTGAGCAGGGGCATGGGCAGGAGGAGGAGGAAGAGGAGGAGGAGGAGGAGGAGGAGGAGGAGGAGGAGGAGGAGGAGGAGGAGGAGGAGGAGGAGGAGGAGGAGGAGGAGGAGGAGGAGGATGAGGAAGAGGAGGATGAGGAGGAAGAGGAGGATGAGGAGGAGGAGGAGGACAAGGAGGCGGCGGCGGCGAAGGCCGTGGAGCAGGGTTTCGGGTCGGTGGAGCAGGTGGCGGAGGGGGAGAAGCAGCAAGAGGGGGAGGAGGAGGTAGAGTTCCCCTCGGTCGAATTCGAGATGGAGGATGTTGAGGGAGCGGCGGCGGTGGCCGTGGAGGGAGCGGCGGCCGCCGTGGAGGGAACGGGTGGGATGTCGGCGGATGTTGTGTACGTGCGAGGGGAGGGTGCCGATGTGGAGAATGTCGGCGTGGAGGAGGCGCACGACGTCGGCAATGTGGTTGGCGACGCGAAGGAGGAGGATAACGCCGCGGCCCCGACGCCGACGGGCGTGGAGACCACCACAGGGAACGCAGTGGTGGAACGCTGGGGTGGAGCGGTAGAGGCGGGCCGTCAACCGGGTTCCTCAGCAGCTGGTCGGCAGGCAACGCCGGCCGACGTCGCGCAGCTGCGACAGGAGAACATGTGGCTGAGGGCTGAAAATGCTCGTCTCGAGACGGCGCTCGGAGTGGAGAGGGGTCGGGTGGACAGGTTCGCGATGGGGATTGGCCGCCTCGTGGACAAGCTCAGGTCGTTGGCCGACCAAGTCACCGCCTCCGACCAGGACGCGTCGAGTCGGCTGATGGACGCGTCCTTGACCATGGCGACGACCGTCACCGAGAACATCACCACCAACATGGGTGAAGCATGGGATGCGATGAAGGCGTACGCCGAGAGGGCGGAGTGCTGGTTGGACGATCTCGAGAATCCGGAGGGGTTTATGGCGGTGCAACGTGCGAACGCGGTCGTCGCTATGGCCAACCACGTGGACGAAGCAAGGAAGGGATTGGAGGAATACATTTCGAAGCACCTAGTCGCCGCGCAGACCAACATCGCCGCAGCGGTAACTCAACGCGTCGCCGTCCCGCCGCCCACGCTGCCCGCCCCACCGCCAGCCGTCCCGGACGAGCTCATGAAGTCTTTCAAGGCGGACGTGTTGAAGGCGGTGACTGAGGCCACCCAGCAGTCGTTTGTTGTGTCTGGGTTAAACCTCATGACCCAGGTGATCGGCCATCTGGCGCCTGGTCGGCATGGGTCGTCGCCGTCGGACAACGAGGCCGACAAGAAGGGTGCGAAAAGGGCGGGCGGCGGAGATGATGCTAGGAGCTCGAAGCGGAGCAAGGGAGCCGATGGGAGCCGCGGCGTCGGCCAGGTGGGTCCAGGCGGCTCGCGGAGCAAGGGAGCCGATGGGAGCGGAGGTACAAGCGTGGTCGACCAGCTTAAGAAGAACGGGGCCAAGGTGATAAGGACGCACAGCAAGGGCGAGGGAATCAGGAGTGCGGAGGGGGGCCCTGCCGACCAGGTTGCCGCTCAAGAGGCTGGACCAACAGCCCCGCCATTGGTCGCCGAGAAGCCGGCCAGTCCAGCGACCGCACCAACGGCGATAGATGCCGGCGCCAAAACCGTCAAGGGACCGTCCGGCGGAGTGGCGGGGACCACGTCGATCCCCCGCAAACCCCCTGCGGCTAGCAGTGCGCCGGTCGCCCCGTCAGCCGCCAACAACGATGGGCCGTCCCTTGCGGCTACTCCAGCACCAGCAGGCACGTCTGCCACCAAGGTTGACGCGGTGGATGCTACGGCTAACCGCGCTGGTCCGTCTGCCCCAAAGGCGAACGCGCTCAGGGAGATGCTCAGCCGCATGGAGACCCATCGACAGGACGTGCAGCAGCCTCCCGTGGTCGGTACCGCGCCGGCCACAACAGCACGTCGCTCGGTCACTCCCCAGGTCGCCGCCACAACGTCCAGTGCCCCACCTACCGCGCCTATCATCGCCGCCCGTCCTCCTGTGGACCCAAAGTCCGCGTTGCTTCGTGCCCGGTTAGGCGCACGTACTGCGGCAGCGCCAGCACGGGCTCAGCCGGTATCCAGCTCATGCGCGACGCCGACGTCGGTGACCGTAGCTGCACACACACTCGGTGCGGCTACTGTCAAGGCGGTGACGGAGAAGGGCGTGAGTGCAGCGCTAGCCACGGGCGGCAGATCAGTTGACCCTGCACAGGCGGCGAAGGACCACAACGACGCCGATGTCGCTACCATCCAGGAACTGTTGGAAGCGGTAAACCGCCCCAAGCAGCCCCCTGTGCTGGCCATCTTGGACTCGGCGAGTCCCACCGGTTGTACAGCGGAGCCAAAGACGACCACTGCTGCGGTCGGCGCGGGAAATCGAAACGGAAGGGGACGGTCGGCGCAGGGAAAGCGAGGCCGAGCTCGAAGAAGAAAACACGGGCGACGTCGGCGATGGTGAAGTCGGTGGAGAAAGGACAGGGGATGGCGACGGCGATGGTGGAGAAGGAGAAGGAGAAGGAGGAGAAGGAGAAGAAGAAGGAGGAGAAGGAGGAGGAGGAGAAGGAGAAGGAGAAGGAGACGGAGAAGGAGAAGGAGAAGGAGGAGGAGAAGGAGAAGGAGAAGGAGAAGGAGAAGGAGAAGGAGGAGAAGGAGGAGGAGGAGGAGAAGATGGAGGAGGCGGAGGAGAAGAAGCTGGAGGAGGAGGAGGCGGCGACGGAGGAGGAGAAGGTGAAGGTGAAAGAACGGAAGGGTCATGGCATCCGCCACGACACCACGGGCGACAGGCAAGGGTGGGTGGGCGAGATTAAGGTGGTCGGGAACGAGAGCAGATACATCGGCAAGTCCCGCGACAAGATGGAGCTGGCGTACCTTCACTCGATTGTGTACCTCCTGTACGACGGTTACGTCAGCAAGATCCTCATGGCCGAGCTCACCGGCTTGGAGGAAACAGTGCTGAAGCAGTGGAGGGCGGTGTGGAAGGAAGTCCGGTTCTTGCCGACTGGGATGTGGGCGGTGATATGGGCACGGGGCGCGTTCCTCCCAAGGACACGGTAAGTCGGATAAACGTCGGCCAAGCTATGATGTCGACGTCGGCGTTCCTAACGGCCAGTTTCGTGTGATTGCGTGACAGGTTCGACGATATCCTCGTGAAGTATCGAGCGTACAAGACATCAGGCGATGCGCACCACGACGCGCTTTTGCCCGCGATCTGGTTCCCCGTCAATGCCGACACGAAGTCGGATGCAATGATGTCGGCCATGCTTGATCGCGTGTCCTTGTGCGCGGCGTATGGGGAGGTCGCTGCATCCGCGGCAAGAATGGAGGGCGACACGGATCAGAAGACGGCGAAGGTCACACAGGCGCTGTCAGCCTCCGCTTGCGCACTGTGGTGCTTAGTCGAGGGCGACGGCGCCTAGGTGGCTGATGCCGTCCGCGAAGGGAAGGCGGCGGCGATGTTGGTCGGCGCCAGCGAGGCTACCGCCGCCGAGTTCAAGAAGGTCATGACGGCGGTGCTGGAGGCCGCGATCAGCAGGCAGCAGCCCCTTGGGGAGGTTGCGCACAACGTCGCACCGGCGCTTGAGTCCACCGCTCTGGCCAAAGCCTATCCGGGGTTGGATGTTGAAGCCGAGGCCAAACTGATCGCACGAGCGACAGTGGAAACCCTCGCGTTCTGGGGAATGTGCCCCGTGGATGGGCCAAAACTCAGGAAGATCGGCATCGCGGTGCCGCTTGACGCGCAGATGGAGTACAACATCGAACACAGGGGGAGGAAGAGGCCGAGGGGCAAGCAGGGCAAGGACAGCTCGGGGAAGAAGGGGAAGGGCAGAGCGGGCAAGGACAGCACGGCGGCGTAGTCGGCATAACAATCTGCCATGGGCGGCAGGAGAGAGCGCAAGTAGGTCTTCTTGCTAGGATGGCCTGATATGGGCGGCGTCGATTATGTAGTTTTCGTTGGGATTTTTTTTCGTTTGATTGTATGTTTTTCGCTGGGATTTCTTTTTTTGGCTGTAACTTTTTGGTAGTGCATGTTACTAGAACACTCCTCGGCAAGGTCGACCTGATCTCTACCATGTTACTCAAATGCGGGCCCGGTTCGATGAACCCCGTCGGCGTATAGCAACTCGGCGTCGTACGGTGTCGAGATAGTGCGTCTGGCTGTATGCATGTATATACTCGGCGATGAGCCTCGTCGGCTAGGCCGAGATGGTCAATGGTCGGCGCTTTGGGGAATGTGCCGCGCCGCCCAGGTGGCCGAAACTCTAGGAGGCCGGCATCGATGTGCCGTTTGACGCGCATATTGAGCGGGCATGGACAGCACGCATGCGTAGTCGGCGCGCGGAGGGAGCGCTAGGTGGTATGATTGCTCGGTTATAGCGTGATCGACGCCGTCGGCGCCGTTTGCATGCAGTCAGCGATGTCGACATGAATAATGCACAATGAATTGCACACACATGGTGGCGACTATGTCGGAGTTTAGGGTATATCTGGTTCGGATGTATGTGTTGGATCATGTATGTTCGTGTTGCATCAAAATCAACAAGTACAATGGGAACACTACGGTTTGCTAAATTAGGGCATCATCAACCTACGCTAACACATATACACCGAGGATCTTCATGCCGACTTCTTGCGCTTTGACGGAGGACGCTGCGCATGTGCGGTCTGCTTGGCCAAGTCGGCCACGGTCTTCGGCATCTGCTCCTCCCAGGTGTCTGGAAACAGGCGGTCGACCCACGTCTTCGGCTTCAGCTCCAGCGCCACCAGCGCACAGGCGAGGCGTAGCTTCGAGACCACCTTGGGGCCAAGCCCCTTGACGCCCATGCCAGGCTCCTTGGACATCGTCGGTGCCGTCTCCGGGTTGAGCACCGTGAGGGCATCGCAGAAGGTCCCAATGCCCGGTGCCGCGATCGTGTTCAGTGCATCGACCACGGCTTCGGTGTCGGCATCGCCGTCGCTCGCGCGTAGCTGGCGCACCGCATCCATGGCCTTCAGCATGCGGCGCACCCTCATGTTGAGTGCACCCTGGGTCGCGCCTTTGAGGAGGGTGTGGCGGTCGATGAACCCCGGCTCGGCGACCCTGTCGCAAAGACGACGGGTGTCATTGGCGGTGGCGGAGTTCCAGAGGCGCTAAGCGTCCCGCACGGTCTTTGAATCCCGCCACGGCTGCACCACGTTGAGCTCGTAACTGGCCTCCTCTGCCGTCTGGGGGGGTGGCGGGGGTTTCCCATCTTCTCTCTTGGCTCCGGTCCCCGTGTTGGCCGAATCCGTGGAGCCACCCTCGCCCGGAGTTTGATCGGTCGCCGACGGCGGCGCCGCCGGCATCCTCCGGGCTTCTGACACATGGAGTGCCTCGGTGAGTCGAGCAAGCTTGGCGGTGAGCGACGCGATGGTGTCGTTTTGCTTCTCGATCGTCTCCTGATAGCCTAGCTTCTCGAGCGCCGAGCGCTCGACCTCCTTCTTCAGCGCCTCCTTGAGGGACATGTTGTGATACTGGGTGTCCATGCGCACGGATATTTCCTGCAATGTTGAGTGTGCGGAAAGGCAACAAGAGGTTAGAATTCATCGGCTAAAATTCAACGACGCCGACATGGTCGGCGACTCACCTCCGGCTGTATCTAAGTTGGGTCCCGGCGCTTTTTGATCGTATCGGTGTCGACCGACTCGACCCTTTTCGCCCAGTGCTGGAAGAGGGCAATCCTGCAGAGCTTGGAACCTTGGACGTACGAGTGCCACGGTGTGCGGACGAGCTTCACCGCGAGGTCCTCGGCGACAATTCGTCGGAACATCACGAGGGTGCGCAAGAAGTGCACTGCGGCTGCATCGGCGTCGCTCCCGTTGACGGCACGCGTCTCCGCCTGCAAGTCGGAAAGTGGCGTGGGCTAGTAGGGAGTTGGGCAGCCAACTAGGCCACGACGACTGAAAAACATTGTCCGCATCGCGTGACATACATCGCGCAGCATAGCATCCACGGCGGGGAAGATGTGCTCGGCGAGCAGGTCCAGGAGTTTGTCGGAGGGCTCGACCCTGCTGCGCCCCAAGAAGTAGTCTTGCTTGAGTCCCGAGTAGCCGGCCTTCTGCATCACCACCCCAACGGGAATGGCCGTGGTGTACGCACGCGTCATCTTGTTGAGAACCCAGTGTCCCAGCTCGGCGATCTGGGCGCGCGGCGTCCCTCCGATGGCTAGCTCCTGCGCACCACCGGCGCGGGCGGCGTGCACGTTCCTTTTGCAGAACACCTTGTTGGTCCTCCACATCTGCCGAGTCCAACGTTGGTGGGTGGCGGAGGAGAGCTCCTCCTGCTCGTTGTCGTTTCTGGCGAAGAAGAGATGCTTCTTGTACCAGCGTTCGCGTTCTGTGGTGTCAAGCGGCGAAAGGAAGTCGGTGCCGGAGAACTGACCGATCTGGTCGAGGATGAAGTGCAGCCACAGGCCGATCTCGCCGACGGCGCACAGCTCCGCTTCCAGGTGTCGCGCAGCGTAGCTCTGCTGAAGACGGGCATCCTTGGAAGTCTTTGAGTTACGCGCGGCGATCACCATGACGACCGGCTGGCTATCCGGGTTCACCTCCGAGGTGCTCGCCAGGTGGTACAAGAAGACGTCGGGGAGCGTGATCTCGCGGATGCTGGCGCCGCGCAGGAGAGTGTGGTGGGAGAGTAGCGTGAGCATCTTGATGAGCAGGAATCGCCACAGCGTCTGAGATGGAGTGGTAGCCCGCGGGTTCCACGCCGCCGCCGCCCATGTTGGCAGCACCCTCATCATGATCTGGCGGAACTGCTCGGCGGTGTAGGTATCGCCGATGGTGCCGCGTCGACGGTCGGCGCAGTTCCTGAACGCAAATCGGCGGGGAAAATCTGTTAGATGGCGTCGACTTCACAGTGCACAATGATATATAATAAGGTTGTCGACCAACTTACTTGATGTCCCTCTCGTTCTTGTGGCGGACGTTGAACCGCACCTCCGATCTCACCACCGAGATCTCCCTCATGATGCCCAGCTCCTTCTCTCGGTACAGCGTCGCCTCCACCCTCGCCGCCATCTGGCATGCCTTTATGCGGCCGAGGATCGTGTGCACAGTTGTCGACCTCACAGGCCCCGTTCGCGTGGCATTGTTCTCCTCCCCGGGCTGGTCAGCAATAAGGTTACACTCACGGCTCATTTGCTTCACGTAGGCGCGCAGCCGGGCTTCGGTGACCTTAGGGCCGTGCAGCCAGATGTACTCTCGGCGGACCACTTTCTCGTTGCACCAATCCTTTTTCTTGTTGTCGCGGATGTAGTGGCCGATCTCGTCGACGTGCCTAAGTTGTTGCTCATGGGGGAGCTTGTCGCGTATCTGCTTCAGCATCTTCGCCGCCCACTTCTTGTAGTGGTAGATGAACGCGGTGTACAGCCTGAGCGTGCTATTCTTCTCCAAGCATTGTAGGTGTCGTAGGGCGTCCATTATGAGCACGTCAATGCTGGAGTACACCATGTCGTCCACTACAAAGTCCGTCGCCTTCCACCCTTCGCGCGGCACCGCCATGTGCTGATTGTCCTCCTTCTCGTCCTCTTCGAGCATGTCACGTATGTATTCAAATTCCCGCCTAAGGCGTTCTTCCAAGGTGCGCGGATTCGTGCTACGCGGAGGACGGTCGTCGACTTCGTCGTCGCTCTCTTCCTCGTCCTCGTCGTCGTCATCATCTTGGTTTTCAGAGCCGGCCGGCACCGACGAAGGTCCAGGCTGCCCATCTGCCGTCGGTGTCAACTTCTTCGTAAACTCCCCAATTGGCGGATTCGGTATGTCCTTGGTGTACACCCCTTCGGGAATCTGAGAAAGTTTGTCAAGATCGTAAAGCAACTTCAGCGTCTCTACGGGGGCAGAGGTCGGACTGTGGTCGGTTGGGGTACCAACGTCGGGCATGTCGACGTCGTCCATGACGGCTCGTATGCTCTACCGCCGGCCGTGGAAGAATTGGTAAACCAGAGACGGAAGTGATTCACGTCGACGCCTTAGTGCTGACCGAAGTCTATTCCAGGTCGACGCCTGAGTGCCGCCGCTGGGTCGACTCGGCCGTCGAGTAACCTAGAACCGCAGAGACAGCGAGGGTCCTGTGAAGAAAGGGAAGTGCCAGATGGCGCACAGGAGCATGAGAGAAACACGAAGCTGAACAGGCAGAATGAGAGCGTTGTGCGTGGTCAAAGAGGTGTATGGATGCGGGCCACTGCGCACCTGCCGCGCTCCACGCAGCCCTCTTTGCAAGCGCAGCAGTGCACGTGCATGACGTGTCACGATCGATGCATGTTTAGTGTCACGCCGCTTTGCGCTCAACGGCACTCCCGCCGGTGCCTTGCCACGGTGGAATTCACGTGCGCCACTTGCAATAGGAGCAATAGGCCAATCACCTAGTTCCACTCTCCCGAAATGCCGTAGCGTCCTGCTCTCCCGCGCAAACCTCATCGACTTGCAAGTAGGCGCGTGGCCGGAGGCCTGGTCGACGCCGACATTCCCTGAGTCTGGGGCTCTCTTCGCCTATGCAGGGTTTAGTCCGCACAGAACCATCCGTGTGGGTCGTGCTGCTGCGGTTGGATCTTCGGGCGACACCGACATCTCATTACCACGCGTTCTCTGGCTATCTAGATGGTGGACACATGTACATGCCTTAGCCAGTCGACTTTCGCCGCGTGGACGATGGTGACATTTTTCATCGGCGGGCCAAGTTTCGCGCGCAGCGAAAGATACAGGTGCTGCGAAGCGGGGCCACGTCGGCGTCGTCGTGGCACCTCCCGATTGTCAGGCTCGATCTCGGCCGTCCTTACTAGGCCACGTGGCCGTAATCGCGGCTCGGCGCACGACGTGTCGAGCTGTGGTTCAGGGTCCGCTGAGGTTTCCTTCTCAGGTTTCTCTCAGCGAATATCGAGGTCGTCAGGTTGTCGACAATCCCGAGGGGTTCAGGGCCCCGGAGGACTGCCAAGTCGCCCCAGTTTGCCACTCGCAGGTTGTCACGAGCTCGTCAATCCCGAGGGGGTTCGTTGTCCTATCGCAACCGCGAAATTGGGCGGCAGTTTTCGTCGGCTGAGGTATATCATCCCTTTCGGCTCTCCTACACAAAACAGTACAAAAACAGTACTGTACTACTGAACAAGTATCCCTCTCGTCATTGGTTGCAAGCGAGGCTCGGTTGGGTTTGGGAATGCCAGCTCCTTCCCGAGCATACCTCCTTCACATGTACCCGTTCTATATTCTAAATATAACGTGCTCGATCGTATCAAGCCCCGTTTTTCGGTATTCGAACGTGCGTTCAGGGGTGGCCTCTCAGTTAGGTACAGAACCGAACTGCCCCACTTGGTGCGTATTTTGTTTTGTAGTGTTGAGAAGCCAGGTTCCTTGGTTCAGAATCCAGAAACCCAAGCCTGAAACAGGCCAGGCCCGAGAATGCCCCCCCAATCTAGTTTTGGGGCAGGATAGGATTTCAGGTCCCACCCAATTCTCTGACTGTACAGTAGGACCTTCTTTCCGTGAAAATCTGGGGAGAGCGTTCTGTCAGTAGAAGTGCAGACCGCCGTGCGGCGTGGCGTCGCTCTCTCAGCGTCGAAAGTCAATCAGCCGCGTCGCAGGCTTCGCAAGCCAATCGGCCGCGTTGCAGCGTCTCTCAGCGTCGCTAGGGAGTTCACTCTCAAGTTAGTCACACTTTTTCGTCGGCCCACAACTGAGCCGTTGGCGGCGCCGGCGCCAGCGGAGCGGTGGTGTCACAGCTTGGGCCCGCCGAGTTCTCATATCCGTAAATCAACCCGAACAATCCCTAGCTATTTCTTACGCGGCAGAGTCTTGCACCCGAAAGTCGAAAGTGCTTCGGTTCGCACAGAATGAGTTGACTCTTGTGGCTTAGCAGCGTAGTGTCTCCGAACAGGCAAACCCGAGCATGGGTTTTCAAGAGATCGGTGGCAGAACCAGCAGCAGCAGCAGCATCTACAGCGACATCAGCAGCAGTTCCCGTAGCGCCACGAGTAGCAGCAGCGGTATCCGCATATTAACCCCCATGGCGAGTCGCGTCAACCCCACGGCGAGTCGCGTCACTCCCATGGGTGTCGCCATGACAATCGCCGTCGCCATCGTCGCCCTCGCGGTGCTGGCGCCTCTTCCCCTCCTTCCAGGAACTCATGCGGCCAAGGTCAAAGGCTCACAAAGTAAGAAGCTCCGGGCTTTGAGACGCCTTAAAGCAAAGCTTCATTCCTGCAAGGAAGGAACCCACACGGCCAGGCCAGGATCGTCCTTCTCTTCCATTCCTCCCCCCCCCCCCCCCCCCCCCCCCCCTCCCCTCCCATTTTCCCCTCCTCCCCTCCCCTTTCCTCCCCTCCCCTCCCCTCCCCTCCCCCTCCCACTCCCCCTCCCCCTCTCCACCGCCCCCATCCAGTGTCGGTCCTGCAGGTGCTGACGGGCATAGCATTTGTTCCATCCAACCACTTTCCTCCCTCTCCCCCTCTCCCTCCTCCCCTCTCTCCCCCGGCCCCCTCCAGTGACGGTGCTGCAGGCGCTGATACAAGAGTGGGGCAGGTTCAACGGCAGTGCGACGTGGACGCCTGCCACTGACTGTGACAATATGGAGGGCCTTTTCTGCAATCCCGGTGGCGATGTCACTGCCATGTGAGTAGATCCACCCACTGACCCGCTGTTGAGTAGACACACCGACCCCCTGTTGAGTATACCCACTGACCCCCTGTTGAGTAGACCCACTGACCCCCTGTTGAGTACACTCGACTCAACAACTCCCTGTTGACTTGACCGCCAAAGAAATGGTAAAGCTTGTAAGGACTTTCACTTTACCATAATTGGTTTTCTTGGCTTCTTGGGCCGTCCTTTGTTTGTTCGTTTGTTCCTCGCTTGTTATCTGTTTCGTTTGTTTCGTACATTCATTCACAAAGGCCTAGTGCACCACACCGCACCGCACCCTTTCCCTCCACGGGCCCCACCTCATGCCTGCCTGTCCGACGCCCATTCGCTTGCCCCGATTTTCCCCGAGCCTGGGATACGCATCATGTGAGTCAAGGCAATCTCATTTGGTGCCTTATGGATTGAAGCAGGCATGTTCAGCTGCCCCACATGCCCCACATCCACCATCCCTCATGCACCCCCTCACATGCCCCACCCCACATGCCCTACACGCCCCACACGCCCCACACGCCCCGCACGCCCTGCACGCCCCGCACGCACCGCACGCCCCGCACGCCCCACATGCCCCACATGCAAGGTGCAAAAAATCGACGTTTTTTTCAAAATTTGATCGTAAAATACCGTATTGTAAGAAACGACAGCAAAAAACGATAAAAAATGGTTTTTGAAAATAAATACTTTTGGTGCAAAAAAACCTTCGTTTTTTTCAGTAAAAAGACCAAAACTGCTGCTGAAACAAGCGGATTGATTGGTGAGAAGAACAAGGGGGCCGTTAGAAGTGCTGATGATGCAGCGGAAGATTGGTAGAAGTGCTTTTGTGATCAGAACAGCATCTTTGAAGTTGAAGAGTTTTTTTTGTCTAACAAAAAAACGAAGTTTTTTTCCCAAAAGGTACCGGCGTAAAAAACCATCGAAAAAAACAATCGTATTTTTTCGACAATCGTGTTTTTCAACCTTGCCCACATGCAGGGGCCTGTTCAGCAAGAACCTCAAGGGAAGCGTACCCACCATCCTTTTCACCCTCTCTCAGCTGCAAGCCCTGTGAGTGATTGGGTGGGCCGTGGCGTGGTGGATTACTGAGGCGTCTCTTTTTGAGGCGCCTCAAGGGCAGCGTATGTGAAGATTGTGAATTGAACAAGTAAGTAGATTAGAGGAACAACCTAGCATACATAGTTGGAAGGAAAGGTTGGAAGGGAAGGATGAAAGTGACCACAGGTTGGGTTGACCTCACTTGGGGGAGTGAGGGAACCATAGGTCAAGTGGGTTGGGTTGCCCACACTTTGTAGAAGTGAGGCAACCCTAGGCCCACTTGGCTTGGGGGAACCTCAATTGTGGGAAGTGGGGTACCTACAAGTCAAGAGGGTTGCATTTGGGGGCTCCACCACAATTGGGTGGATTGGCACCCCAAAGTGCAAGACTACACCCAAAGTTGGATGTAGTCCCAACCCAACTGTACACCACAATTGGTGTACAGTCACATGTGTTGGCATGCTACACAAAAAATATTTTAACAGCGTACCCACCATCCTTTTCACCCTCTCTCAGCTGCAAGCCCTGTGAGTGATTGGGTGGGCCGTGGTGTGGTGGATTACTGAGGCGTCTCTTTTTGAGGCGCCTCAAGGGCAGCGTACCCACCACCCTTTTCACCCTCTCTCAGCTGCAAGCCCTGTGAGTGATTGGGTGGGCCGTGGCGTGGTGGATTACTGAGGCGTCTCTTTTTGAGGCGCCTCAAGGGCAGCGTACCCACCATCCTTTTCACCCTCTCTCAGCTGCAAGCCCTGTGAGTGATTGGGTGGGCCGTGGCGTGGTGGATTACTGAGGCGTCTCTTTTTGAGGCGCCTCAAGGGCAGCGTACCCACCATCCTTTTCACCCTCTCTCAGCTGCAAGCCCTGTGAGTGATTGGGTGGGCCGTGGCGTGGTGGATTACTGAGGCGTCTCTTTTTGAGGCGCCTAAAGGGCAGCGTACCCACCTTCCTTTTCACCCTCTCTCAGCTGCAAGCCCTGTGAGTGATTGGGTGGGCTGTGGCGTGGTGGATTACTGAGGCGTCTCTTTTTGAGGCGCCTCAAGGGCAGCGTACCCACCATCCTTTTCACCCTCTCTCAGCTGCAAGCCCTGTGAGTGATTGGGTGGGCCGTGGCGTGGTGGATTACTGAGGCGTCTCTTTTTGAGGCGCCTGAAGGGCAGCGTACCCACCATCCTTTTCACCCTCTATCAGCTGCAAGCCCTGTGAGTGATTGGGTGGGCCGTGGCGTGGTGGATTACTGAGGCGTCTCTTTTTGAGGCGCCTCAAGGGAAGCGTACCCACCATCCTTTTCACCCTCTCTCAGCTGCAAGCCCTGTGAGTGATTGGGTGGGCCGTGGCGTGGTGGATTACTTAGGCGTCTCTTTTTGAGGCGCCTCAAGGGCAGCGTACCCACCATCCTTTTCACCCTCTCTCAGCTGCAAGCCCTGTGAGTGATTGGGTGGGCCGTGGCGTGGTGGATTACTGAGGCGTCTCTTTTTGAGGCGCCTCAAGGGCAGCGTACCCACCATCCTTTTCACCCTCTCTCAGCTGCACGCCCTGTGAGTGATTGGGTGGGCCGTGGCGTGGTGGATTACTGAGGCGTCTCTTTTTGAGGCGCCTCAAGGGCAGCGTACCCACCATCCTTTTCACCCTCTCTCAGCTGCAAGCCCTGTGAGTGATTGGGTGGGCCGTGGCGTGGTGGATTACTGAGGCGTCTCTTTTTGAGGCGCCTCAAGGGCAGCGTACCCACCATCCTTTTCACCCTCTCTCAGCTGCAAGCCCTGTGAGTGATTGGGTGGGCTGTGGCGTGGTGGATTACTGAGGCGTCTCTTTTTGAGGTGCCTCAATGGCAGCGTACCCACCATCCTTTTCACCCTATCTCAGCTGCAAGCCCTGTGAGTGATTGGGTGGGCCGTGGCGTGGTGGATTACTGAGGCGTCTCTTTTTGAGGCGCCTCAAGGGCAGCGTACCCACCATCCTTTTCACCCTCTCTCAGCTGCAAGCCCTGTGAGTGATTGGGTGGGCCGTGGCATGGTGGATTACTGAGGCGTCTCTTTTTGAGGCGCCTCAAGGGCAGCGTACCCACCATCCTTTTCACCCTCTCTCAGCTGCAAGCCCTGTGAGTGATTGGGTGGGCCGTGGCGTGGTGGATTACTGAGGCGTCTCTTTTGAGGCGCCTCAAGGGCAGCGTACCCACCATCCTTTTCACCCTCTCTCAGCTGCAAGCCCTGTGAGTGATTGCGAGGGCCGTGGCGTGGTGGATTACTGAGGCGTCTCTTTTTGAGGCGCCTCAAGGGCAGCGTACCCACCATCCTTTTCACCCTCTCTCAGCTGCACGCCCTGTGAGTGATTGGGTGGGCCGTGGCGTGGTGGATTACTGAGGCGTCTCTTTTTGAGGCGCCTCAAGGGCAGCGTACCCACCATCCTTTTCACCCTCTCTCAGCTGCAAGCCCTGTGAGTGATTGGGTGGGCCGTGGCGTGGTGGATTACTGAGGCGTCTCTTTTTGAGGCGCCTCAAGGGCAGCGTACCCACCATCCTTTTCACCCTCTCTCAGCTGCAAGCCCTGTGAGTGATTGGGTGGGCTGTGGCGTGGTGGATTACTGAGGCGTCTCTTTTTGAGGTGCCTCAATGGCAGCGTACCCACCATCCTTTTCACCCTATCTCAGCTGCAAGCCCTGTGAGTGATTGGGTGGGCCGTGGCGTGGTGGATTACTGAGGCGTCTCTTTTTGAGGCGCCTCAAGGGCGGCGTACCCACCATCCTTTTCACCCTCTCTCAGCTGCAAGCCCTGTGAGTGATTGGGTGGGCCGTGGCATGGTGGATTACTGAGGCGTCTCTTTTTGAGGCGCCTCAAGGGCAGCGTACCCACCATCCTTTTCACCCTCTCTCAGCTGCAAGCCCTGTGAGTGATTGGGTGGGCCGTGGCGTGGTGGATTACTGAGGCGTCTCTTTTGAGGCGCCTCAAGGGCAGCGTACCCACCATCCTTTTCACCCTCTCTCAGCTGCAAGCCCTGTGAGTGATTGCGAGGGCCGTGGCGTGGTGGATTACTGAGGCGTCTCTTTTTGAGGCGCCTCAAGGGCAGCGTACCCACCATCCTTTTCACCCTCTCTCAGCTGCAAGTGTCAGAACTTGAGCTTAGAATCGATACTATAGTAGTGAGCTCAAAGCTCTTTAAGTACATCCGGAATGAGCAAGGTAGGGATGAGGAGGGAATCAGGAGGCAATCCTAGGGAATCAAGGGTAATCCCAAGGCAATCTCCAATTGGTGGGTTGGAGATTGCTTGGAGATTACATTTGGGTTTGGTTGGGATGTGGGTGTACACCCAACCAAACACAAAGTGCAAACTACACTAAACTAGGATATAAAAGTACAAGTACAAAATGTGAGATTGGGGCCTAACACCAACACCCCCCCTGAGGCGTCAATCGAACTCATGGCGGAGAAGGAGGAGCGCAGAGCCCCATGGCGCCAAGGAGACGATGGTGGGGAACCTTCCCAAGGGGCTTGGTGAACAGGTCCGCGAGGTTGCAGTCAGATGCCACGTATTCCACCTTCAGCTGCTCTTGTTGCACAAGGTGACGAATGAAGAAGTGCCGAAGTTCAATATGCTTGGTGCGGGTGTGATACACAGGGTCTTGAGAGATGTGGATGGTACTCTGGTTGTCACACCAGAGGGTGGGGGCTGACTGAGGGAAGCCAAGCTCCTGGAGTAGGAAGGTGAGCCAACGGGCCTCCTGAGCAGCCATGGTGCCTGCGTAGAGCTCCGCCTCACAGGAGGAGAGGGAGACTGCAGACGACCTGGTGGAGCGCCAACTGAGAGTTCCGCTCCCGAGGGTGAAGCAGTACCCCTGAGAGGAGCGTCGGTCGGTCTGGTCATTAGCTCAGGAGGAGTCTGTGTAACCTTCCAGGCGAGGAGGGGAGAGCCCACCGAGTGTGAGAACGTGGGACTTTGTGCCCTTAAGATAGCGCA